TTTGAGGTACGGAACCCTAAAAAGAAGTCCACTATAAGCTTTACTATATTCCTTGAAATCGTTTATAAACATTTATTACAAAATATTTCTGACAAGTAAATGAAGAAATATGCGTTGTGTACGGTCACCATCAACAAAATAACAGGAATAATATAGCACTATTTTCACATCTTTGAACTGATTTAACTCGGTTTGGACTGTGTTTTTGATATAAGACCCCATATATTTTTTTGTTTGTAATGTTATTCTGCATCAGTTTTTACACATCCAATAAACTGCCGCGAAAAAATAAAAAGGCACCACGCTCCATACAAATTTGGTCATTGTCATTTAGGGTATTATTACATAAAACAAAACTGTTACAAATAAACTTTTCTGGATTTGTTATGGGCAAATTTCGCGATTACACTTTTAATATCGACTTCTTTAAGCAAGTCATGCTCTATATTCAACATTGTGATATGATTAAGACGTTCTTGGCCCATAGGGTTCCTTAATTAATTCATTTTTGATTCGTTTAAATCGGGCTCGGTTCGCCCGCCAATGGCACTACCACCAACCAAGCGAACAAATACTCACTTTCCTTTTCTAACACATACAAAATACCGACTATTTGTCTTTTTTCGTTAATTTCGTTAAGGAAAAAAATCAAATTACTTGTAGGTTGGTAGTAATTTTGTAAACAAAACATTTTCTTCATAAGTCTTGCTGTTGAAGTGGTGTAATTACGAAATACCTATTTGAGCGCGGGGCCCTCCAATCCGCGGGGCCCGTAGCATTTGCTACTCTTGCTACGTGGCTAATCCGGCACTGCCTCCAGGCACTCCCAGAGAAACTGAAATTCTGTTATGAGAAGTAACGATTGAAGAGTTTGGTTGGTTGAACATGCAACTAATACTGATTAGGTACCTACCTAAATATTACGCACTAAATAAAAAAGATGCAAAATAACAATACAATACACCCACACACCTGTAAACAGACGCTAATGAACGTCGCGTGTTCTGTCCTCAACGTAATCCACTTCAAGTTGTCCTTACTGATGAGATATTCAAATGACAACTCAAAGTTCCTGTTCGAATCCTCTAGAAGGGCACCGTGTCCATTTTGAGCTGGCGACCTTTCAATCTGCAACAAAAGGTTATGTTAATGACATAAACAATGAGTAATGTATCATTTTTAACTCGTCGAGTACCGGTTTTGTAGACACAATTATAGAACAATAGGTTGCGGTCACCGGTGACCGCTTGGTGTTTGACAGTTTAATTAGCAACTTATTGTTACTTTGGAAATAAAACATAACTTAGAGTTCCCGCACTCAAGTGAAGGGTGTACTGACGCCACATATAAACAACTGAATATAACAAATTACTTCGAACTTGCTTATCTCTGACTCTCGACTCGTTGGACGTTTACTCCCCTTACTACATGGGGCTTTCAACATAATTGCCAAAAAGTTATTACCTATTAATTACATTATGTCTGTGTCTATGCTGACCTTTTTTAAATAATAAAAATGATACTGATGATGTAAAAGTTATACTCACGGTATGAAGAGTAGTGATCCTCCAGCATCGCATCCTGGTAACCTTGTATCGCTGTTCTCGTGCAGGCGGCGTGAGGCTGAGCAGCGTGAGCTCCTTCGAGGCGAGGGACACGCGAACTCGACAAGTGCCTTCCGGAGCACCGTCTGTCACGTTGTTCAGTTCCGTCACCGCCTCACCTGCCGGTATCCTCCCATAGTGGCGTAACGACTTCGCTAGTTCTACATACTGTAATGTAACAATAATAGGTTTATTGCTTTATGATGATGTTAATATTCATTTATCTAATAATAGGTCTTTTGGACCAGTAGAACCGGTTTAAGATGTTATTTCACTTGTGGAAACCAAAATAAAGACCTATACGCCTATACCTATCACGGGCATATTTTTTTAAAATAAAAACAGATAAGTAAAGCCCTATTTATTTTGTAATTCCATGAAGGTGAAATTGTGTGCGAAAACCTAGCATAATAATCAAGATTAATTTCCGCATAGGTAAGTATATGGGGACGTGAAAATACAAAAATTAAAAAATGCGCTTCTAAAGTTAAATAAAGATGTTTTATTTTTCAATGTCACACAAATGAGTGATGATCTCATTCACTGACATTAATCTAGCTTGGTATAAAATACGATAAGCAGAAAGAAGAATGGTTTGTTAAGGAAAATGGCGTGAAATAATCCTGAGATATAATTAAAATAGCACAAACAAGATTGAACTAAATTACTTAAGTATGGCGATAATACTAAAACACCGCTATTCTTTATTTCAGTGACTAGTCGTGTAGCTTCTCATGTGAACTTTGTGCAAATAAAAGTGTCCGCATATTCTATAAAATCAGTACATAGCATAAAATAAAATCGCTATCCGCCGTCTGTCTGTCCCTATGTATGCTTAAATCTTTAAAACTACGCGACGGATTATGATGCGGTTTTTTTAATAGATAGTATGATTCTTAAGAAGGGTTTATATGTATAATTCATACATATTGCACCCATGAGAAGCAATGGCGGGTCTCTAGTAGGAAATAAATAAATAATAACTATTTCACATCTTGTATTACCACAAAAACAGGTATGCAAATCATCTTGCTAACCCTGACTTCAAACAAACTTTGTTGATGATATAATTACTTTGTTCATAGCAAATTATAATTGGTACTATTAAAAAACTTATTGCATTTTCTTCTTGCATAAATCATGTAACATTACGAAACAATAGCTGAGTATATTGCAAATACTAAATTAGTATGAATTCATATATAATACATAATACTGATGTGCAAATGATTCATTTTATTGACTTTGAATGATATCATACTGTGATGACACTATGTGCAATGTGCTGCACTGCACTGTTTATTTATTGTGTACAGTTTTGAATAAATCGTTTAAGCCTTTTTGTACTTTACAAGTCACAAATCATTTTCATAAAACAATAAACAATGAACTGAATCATAAACAATCTTAAACAATAAGAATAACAATAATCTACAAAATTAATGCCATAGAAATTGTCCCTAATAAGTGTGCAAAAATTGTTAGTTGTACCACTATCGTAATTGGAGCAAAAGTAATTACAAACAAAACTGAATACTTTCAATTAACATAACATTATTTGAAGATTCTAGATAAATATGTTTATACTAAAAGCACATTGTAACTCACTTGTGACCATAACCTTTCGCAGTTATTGCTTATTGATAACTTGAACTGACATCAAGTGTGAATGGAATTTAATTAGCCCAATGAAATGAAAATAAAAATAAGATTGTAGGTATTTTCTTTTGTAAAGTATCGTACTAACCAACCAGTAACATCTTGTTATTCTACATTCTATTCTTGTTTGCGAAAACTCTCTTAAGTTAACCTGTATATCCCCGTTACGGCCGTATACCCCATACCCCCATTATATACAGTATAATCTCACTAATCCGGCACTTCGATAGATCGGCACCTCCAATAATCCGGCACCCTTTGCCCACACTTCCCTCACCCCTCTATACCTGTGCGCTTTGGGCTCGCTGCCATCGCAGCGGTAAGTCCCCTCTTTGAGGAGTGGCTTGAGAGACGCTACGGCGTCCTCACCTACCGCCTGACGCAGGTCCTCACCGGACATGGCAGTTTCGGGAGGTACCTGTGTCTGATGGGGCGGGAGGAAACGCCCGGGTGTCATCACTGCGAGGACCGCCCTGAGGACACGGTGGAACACACGGTGGGAGAATGCCCTTCGTGGGCTGAGCACCGCCGTGTCCTCAGGGAAGTGATCGGCGATGGCGACCTCTCGCGTCCGGGCCTAGTGCAGGCCATGATGCGGAGCGAGGGGGATTGGGATGCCGTCTCCTCCTTTTGCGAAGCAGTCATGCTAGCTAAGGAGGAGGCGGGACGCGTGAGGCAGCGAAGCGCTGCCTCCTCGCAACCCAGCCATCGCGAAGGACACACCGGGCGTCGGGGATCGCGGGACGATCTCCGGCCACCGTAAGCGCGGGCCTGCGGACGGCGAGCATGGGTGGCTCCCCGTCCGACCAGAAACAGACCCGAGCGTACGGCGCGTCGCGTTCCGCGCGCGCCTCAAAGAGCCATCAGACCACCACAGATGGGGCCCAATAGGGCCGATGCCGATTCGGAGTCGCGGAGAACCTAACGGGTAACCGGGGCTCCGGCTCGACGTGCAGGAGAAGGAACGGGGTGGTTTTTAGTCAGTAAGAGTCTGACACTCCCTCCCGCCTCACCCAGGCGGGAGCAGTAATTCGATGATTTTCCCGCCTTAAAAAAAAAAAAAAAAAATACCTGTGCGCTTTGGTCACTTCGTCGTCGACTAGCAGTCTAACCTCGTGCACGTACTAACGTATTTGTTTTCTAAATCTAGTTAATTACATATGTACTTACGTTAATTTAAAACATTACATACATTTACTCTCTCTATGAAATGCTTTACTTTATTTATTACCTATGCCTTTTCTGTACAACCCAGTAATCGGAACATTCCAATAATCCGGCACCCTCCGGTTTTCAAAAGTGCCGGATTAGTGAGATTACACTGTATATATATACGGCCGTTAGTGCTCTCCACTAACTACATTATAGACCTTATTTCCAATGTTTAGAGACTACTTTTGTATGAACAAATTTAGGGGATGATTTTCAACAATTTTCAAATGGTTAAGAATCTATATCAAATCATACTTGTGAAAAGAATTGTGTAGCTGTAGAAATGAGCACCTAAGTAGGTACTACAAGACAATAAAGTAAACAATAGTAAACAGTAGGTATCTATCTCATTATCATTCAATCAGATGGCTTACAATAATCTGTTTGATATACAACAGAGCTAATGATTTATTTATCAGGTATCATCAGAATTACCACCATATGGTGTGTGAATCACCTTTGGTTTTTAATATGTGAATCATGGAATTTATCACAGACACAACACACACATTTAAAACATACTTTTTACAGATTTGCTCACCTACCTCTCTCTTTTGTTTCTTAGATTTGTATGAGGACAGCATGTCTCTAGTTTGTGGGTCAGCTGTTATCCATCCTAAGTCCAAGTCTTCTATAGTTTGCAGGTACAATAGGTCCAAAGACACCCTGTCTATCATTAAATCAACATCATAGCAAGGATCCCAGTAGCTGTAATAAAACAATGATATATATTACCAACTTATGATTTAAAAGGAGGTATATGAAATTCAAACTTATGTTGGAAATTACCTTTTCCTCAAAACAATTTTATCTTCTGGCCTAACATACTTTTGAGATATGTAAGGAGATTCATATTCTTCCAATTTTTTTAATGCTGGTTGTCCATCTTTTGCACAGCTCCAATTAAAAAGGTATAAGGAAAAGTATTTTACCAGCTCCTTTGGCAGGTTTAGTTGGGTGCATACAATGTCTAATATTGTGTTTGATGAATCAGTGGAAGAGACTGACAATGGTATTCTGTAACCATTCATCAGTGATATTTCAATCTCTACCTCATGCATCTTTACACCATGCGTTTCTTGTTGAGCCGAGAACAGGAATGTTACCAGAAGATCTGATGATGTGAACAATGGATTCTGGCCAACTAAAAAAGAAGTGTTTGTTTTAATTCGAACTTTTTACCTGAACATGGTACACAAACATTTTATCTCCTAATGATTTTCCTGTAAAAATCTGTTAGGTAATCTGCAGTGCACATTGTAGGTATTATTATAATTATTATAAGGAAATACAGCAACTAGACCTTGAGAGGATATTACAGTCCTGTCAAAATCATAAACTAGCTTTGCTTAGTAGACTTGCTTACATAAATAATTACTATAAGATACTTCTATTTCACACACAACTTTCTTTATATGAAATAAAATAGAAAGATTAAACAATTACCGAGTTGCATATACTTTTCCAACAAGACCCTCCTTTCTTCTAGCTGCGAGTTGGTGAGAAATAACTTTTTGGGTGGAAATTGTGGCAGTTTCACATAGGGATTTTGAGCTTGTAGCTGCTCATGAAGGCTGAGCAGCTGTTTGTACCTAGCTGTGCAGTGGAAGACTCCATCAATATGTATGTTGTAGCCCTAAAAGAAATTAGATGTAACAATTTTTTTAAATATAATTTTCACAAGAACAGATTCTTAAAATACATCCAAATACAAAATCAAAAGTTTCGAACATGTATCAATGAAAACAAATAAGTACTTAGGAATGTAAGTGGAGGAACTAAATGTAACTTACTTCAATATTAATTTACAACAATAAAGTATATTTTTCAGATATTTTTTTACAGTTCAATGTTTATTAAACAATAGACGTAAAATAATAATTACCGTGTAAGAAATTCCATTGTCGTCGTGAAATTGTTGCAAATCAGGAATGGAAAAATGCATTTTTATTGTTGCGAAATATGCATAATATTTTTTATCCACTAACTATTAATAAAAAAATCAAAAATGTTTTCAATATCACAAAAGTAGTAACAAATCGCCCACTTTTTAATTTGTTTTTTCCAAAACACTGACTTTCCCACAATCCATTCAAGACATTACTAGAGCTGCACTTTGGCAGTCGAATTTATTGAGAAAGACTTGCCATTAGCATAGAGATGGGATTTTACCCGGAAAAAACCCGAATATGGGAAAAAACCGGGAAAAAACCCGGGGAAAATTCCCGAATGGGAAAATATTCGGGTTTTTTCATATTTAACACATGTAACAAATAAGTAATGAGTAGATTATGTACATATCATATAGTACGTACTATTTAAGAACTATTACTACAAGTTAGAGCTAATCTAACTTTGTTTATGTTCATATTGCAGTAATAACGTTCTTAATATCCTTAGGGACCTACTATCAAATGAAAGAAAATGAAATTAAACAAAAATCCTGTCTGTTTGTGTGTGATCCTCCGCTCTTAGCGACAGGTAACCCGAAAATACGTGAGCGGGTAGAGGGGCAGGGAAGCAGGTAGTAGAGGGGCGAGCGCGTTGGTGATCTATCTATCTCACACGTTGTTTCGGCTTCATACTGTGCGCACTCGTGTTAATTTGTTGGTTTAATTGACGACTTGGATTTTGTTTGGTGGACTTTTGGTTACCTAATCCTTTGAATTGACAACAACTGCTACTCTTACGGACTTTGATACCTACTTTTTTTACGAACGAAATTTACCGGTAAATTTACAGTTTTGTAACTTTTGTAAAGTATAATAAATGATTGTTAGTAAGAGTATCTCTCGTTGTTTTAATTATATTATTTTAGTCAAACATTCTTTAAAGTTTAATAGGTATTTTTTCTGCTGTTAACATTCCATCACAGAGCGCAGTAAAAACTTATTATAAAACAAGAAGACGTCTTTATGGTGTTATAATAAATATGCTGGTTATGTTTTAGTCCTTGAAATAGACTACACATTTTAACGTTTCAAATAACAGACAACAGCTAGTGCCTTATACACGCTGGTGCTAAGTACTACTCTGTCAAGAAAGTACCGGGAAAAGATCAATAATACAAAAATGTCTGTTATTCATCCAAATTTATTTTATCACCTTTAAACTGTCAAACACCGAGCGGTCGGTGTTTGACAGTTTAAACTGTCACCGGTGACCGCAACCTATTGTTCTTTAATTGTCTGTAATGACGGTACTCAACGAGTTAAAGTATGCTCCTTTAGAGACGATACACTTGCGCCAACGAATAATCTATTCATCAAAACATTTTTTAAACGCTGCTTCCAGAATTGAGTTTAGTTCTCGCCGCGAATTCTCCTTTACGTCTTCTATCGATTGAAAACGGGTGCCACGAAGTGGTAATTTGAGTTTAGGAAAAAGAAAAAAGTCAGCAGGAGCCATATCTGGTGAATATGGTGGTTGCTGGATGGTATTTGTTGAGTGTTTGGTCAAAAATTCGTTCACCTTGATGCCACCAATGATAGCCTTGTGCGAAGGCGCTTTCTCGTGGTGCAAAATCCAAGAATTTTCTTTCCACAAATCTGGCCTTTTTCGTAGAATTTGCTCTCTTCAACGCCGCATAAAGCTCAAATAATATTCTTTATTTACCGTTAGACCTTCCGGTAAGAATTCAGAGTGCACAACAGCGCGATAGTCAAAGAAAACAGTCAACATGACTTTGACTTTTGATCGACTTTGGCGTGGTTTTTTCGGTTTCGGTTCAGTTGGAAGGCGCCACTCCGAAGCTTGTTGACTAGTTTGCATGCCAAACTCATAAACCCACGTCTCGTCACCAGTAACAATGCGTTTCATGAATGTTGGGTCCAAACTGACTCGTTCTAGCATATCCTCAGCGACTTTCATGCGATTGAGATTTTGGAGAAAATTTAGATCTTTTGGAACTAGTCGAGCAGCAACATGTTTCATACCCTTTAATGTATAGTATAGATTAGTTAAAATGGTACGGATCGACTCGTGAGATACAGAAAGTTCGGCGGCTATCTCTCTCAGAGTTGAATGGGGATTTTCAGTCACTATTTCCTTCACTTTTGCGACGTTACCTACAGTTGCAGACCAGAGCGAGGCAAATCTTCCATCACATCTCGACCGCTTTTGAACGCTTTGAACCACTCATAAGCACGAGTTTTTGATAAAGTCGATTCACCGTAAGCTTTCTGTAACATTTTTAGTGACTCCGAACACGAAATTCCATTGGCGATGCAAAATTTAAGACAAACTCTTTGATCGATATTTGTGTCCATTATGAAATTCACAATATACATTAGAGGTATATATGATATTTCTGAAACCAGCGCTGTATTTAATATAAATAACAGATGCAACTCAAACTCCGCGCCAAAATGGAAAACAGTTGTGCCAATCTAACAACGGTATATAAAAACAAAAATTTGAATTTGAAACTATAAACAAATCATCAATTCCCGATACTTTTTTGAGTGAATGTAGGTATATGCGCATCACAAAGTACCTATTTATTTAGTTCTGAAAATAAAATAGAATAAGATCATTATAAATGAAAATACCCGCCTATTGGGTTTTTTCCCACATAAAAACCGGGTTTTTTCCCAAATGGGAAAAAACCTGGGTTTTTTCCCTTTGGGTTTTTTCCCAGTGCCCATCTCTACATTAGCACAAAAACTATCGATATCGAGAACTTCTCTAATCTAATCAGTTGTTTTTTTAATACCAATAATACAACTAGTAAGTTTGTATGTACACTGTCAATATCAAACGTTGATCAAATGTATAGTTTTATTATTTCGTCAACTCTTTTAAAGAAGTTTACATTAGGTGCAAGTATTTTATTAGGCTATACCTTTTTAGCTATATACTATAACATTTTTATTTTTAAAGGCCTTCTAATCTATATGGCGATGCTACGATTCCATATTTTGGAAGATAACCATTTTTTTTACATTGTTTATGAAATTATATATTTACACATTTATATGTTTGCTACTTGCTTGTTATAGTTTTCTAAAAACAGTTAATCATTCTCGAAGAAAATCTTGTTAGATTTTAGATTTTTTGTTAGTTAAAACAATCACACAATCCTATAAAATAGCAACACAGCATATTACTTGTCATCACTTGCTCAGCTGTTGTAGTTTTATTTTGATTTGTAATTTTAGCAACTCATTATTTGGCGAATACATACAGTATTGATGAATTTTTATAAGAATCATAGAAACAAAACAAATTTCTAATTTGTTAGGTTGAGTGAAAATAGTGCTCGTCCACGTTTACGTTGAAGATAAATAATAGGCGAGGTGTAATTAAAAATGTCTAATCCTTTGCCGGTTATAACTATACAATGCGATTGGAACGATATTATAAGGTAAATATAACTTACGTAATGAATATTGCCTTTCACGTTTGCCTTTTCTCTAATTCAGGATGTCTGTAAGACAGCCTCTTTCAGAAATATACAGTACTTAAGCTACTCATACATCATACATACCTACATTACACAAAACTCATACTTTTTAATTGAACTTACAGATTACCCAAAGGAAACGCTTGGATAACTTCCAAAAAATTGAATGAAAATGGTATCCATGATAAGCTTTCCACTATTTTGAGTGATGGGAAAGTGAAAATTATGTTTTCAGACAATTACCAATACATTTCTCATGGACCATTGAGCTTGGTAATAAAACACATACCCTCAGATCTCAAGGTGGCCTTCATAGCCCCCTCAAAAGCTCACAAAATTCATAGCAAAGGTGTGTTATCTGTAGCAGTAGCTGAGAATGCTTTAGCTGTGTCATCGTGTGAACAAGATAAACTTGTGGTTTGGGATAGCAGGACAGGTAACATAATTTTGTATTTTATTGCCTCTAGCTTAATATTAATTCTAGCTGTTCTGCAGTTTCACTAGCACTACTTTAGCTTACTCGGTCAAAGGAGAAAAGTAGTCTATATGACCAAATAACCATACCATAAAACCCTCTTTAAGAAAGTTAAAAAATAAACACACTTGAGGATTTCAATTCATAATATTAAAAGGATTAGAATATGAACACCTTCAAAACAGAGTAAATACAATAATTTACTAAACTAATGTCTTATGTTTTAGGTGATGTAAACCTTGAGCTGAAAGGCCATGGTGGTCCAGTTTACAAGTGCAGATTCTTCCCATCAGGGATTGTAGTGTTATCTGCCGGTGCTGATGGTTCCTGCAGGATCTGGTCTGCGGAGTCTGGAATTAATCCTGTTACTTTGAAGGGACACACAATGGCTGTGTGTGATACCTGTATTATTGAAAGAGGAAGAAATGTTATATCTATTAGCAAGTGAGATAAATATTTCCTGTATTTATTCTGTATTAGTTACTCCCATGGTCCCACTTGGTGTTTGGCTCCTATTGGACATCGTGTGAGGTTTTCACCAAACACAAAAACGATTGTAATATTATTACTATTGCATTCAAAACTATTCCAATTCTTTTATATATATTTGATGAGCCGACATTTGACCACTATCTCGCCTGGTGGTAAACAATGGTGCGGTCTACGATGGAGCATGTCCCTTAAGCTATCTATTCACTTGGGCTTTGAAAACACCCAAGTTCATATTGGTATAGATATTTTGCTTGTATCTAAATGAATGCCTACCTTTACAGAGACGGTTCAGCAAAATTATGGGATGTTGGTGAATCAAAGTGTCTGGCTAATGTTGTTGAAGGACATGGACAGATCAACTGCTGTGCCCTCTCCACAACTAGTGAGGAAGTTGAAGTTGAAAATGAGAGAGAGGTAAAAATAAACAATAATTCATCATAATAAGAATATTTTGAAGAAAAAAATTACAAACAACACAAAATCAGTATGAATACTATCTCTAAATATCAAATCTTGTTCACTAGTATTACTCACTATATTGGGAGCCATTGACCACAGAATCAAACAAAATTGAACTTTATTGCAATAACTTGAATTTAACATTTCAGGTAGGCACAAATAACAAATTGCTGGTAGTAGGATGTGAGAGTGGACAATTAATCTGTTCGCATGTGGCCAAGAGAGCTCAAGTTTATACTAAGCAGTTGGATTCTGCTTGTAACACAATCATTATCTTGGACCAATCTATTATTGTTGGCTGTAGTGATGGAAAGGTAATTTTTATTTTGACATTTATTGAATTCACGACGAAAAGTATTTAAGTACATTTTTTTTATCAACATCCTTGTACATATAAAGATTCCTCTAAAATAATGTGTGAGCTTACAGGCGTAATATTTTTATGACAAGATTTTTAAAACATCATATTTATGTGTTTCAGATAGTAAAATTGAATCTTGAAAATGGATCACTATTAAAAGAATGGCATGAATCAGCCAGTCCTGTGCTCAGCATGGTAGTTCTGACCAATCAAATGTTCGCTGTGGGACGACAGGATGGCACATGCACTGTGTTTACTCTGGATGAGGGTGACTCTAAACTTAGAGTTCAACTGACTGGTGCAGACTGTGATGGCATCAGGGACCTCTCGTTCAATGGCAAGTGGGTATTCGCTGGCTGTAGAGATGCTATGGTGCGGAAATATGATTTTAATCAAATCAATGTCCATTTCAAATAAAAAAAACCTTATAATAACCTTATGAAATAAGACTATTTATGTATAAGATTTAATATACCTTCGTCTTGGACATTTATGATAATTTTATTGTGTTAATACTTGACAATTTTGTTATTAAGTAGGTAGTTAGGGTACATTTAGGAGTGTAATAATGTAAATGTTGCTGCAGGTAATATCTCTTTCTTGAATTGATGTTTTATTATCTTCGTCTAATTCTGTCTCGTCTATCACAAGTGCATATTGCACAATATTCTGCTGCTACAATCTGAAATAAGATATACTTATAAAATCTTTGTATGAAGGATTAATAAAATCATTGAAGTGCTTTTCTCATACCATTTTATGTATCTCCACACTCGAGTTCTCAATCTCACACATTGTTTCCATAATAGTTTTAACTACCTTGGAGGGTTTTATTTTATTTGGCGAATACTAAAAAAAAAAGAAAAAACAACAGTATCTTTCTTTTTCTATTCAATTCGTATTGGATTCTTACCTCAACATTATTGTACTTTGATTTCAAATCCCTGAAGTTAGATTCAGTACGTTTATATAATTTCGTCCAAAGAATTGCATCTTTGTGAATATTTCTCTTTAATTTGATCCAATCATTTGCATGTCTCTTTGCTAAGCCTGGACATGTCATTTCTTAAATTAAGAAAAAACCGTATTACTATTAATTATAATATAATGACTTTTGTTACTCCTACTTAAATTAAATGGAATTTTTACTTACTTCTTTGTTTCAATAAGTAAATAGTTTCTTGGCATGTGTCATGTATCCAATGACTCCACATTTCTAAATTTATATAGGCTTTTTGTAAATCGTTGCACCATTTGCGCATATCGGCTTCTGTCACACGAGTAGGCGTTACTGAAAATGAATAGTTTGACAGCTTTTTAATTATTTCTATATTTCTTATTATTGTTTGTATAGGAGGAAGAAATGATCCACCCAGAATTAAAAAATATAGGCTATTATGATATTATACATACTCTGCTTAGGTATAGATTCGTCACTAGGCTCTCCATGGGCAAATCCCCATGCCGTCACCCATGAGGGCGCAGTATGCAGTTGAACTCCTGTTGAAAACAAAAACATTATTATATTAAAACAATTAGTAGGTACCTACGCCAAATGGACAGACTCCTTAAAGTTATTTATTTATTTTCTTCTTCACAAAATACATCAGTGAATGGCGGACTTAATGCCTTAAGGCATTCTCTTACAGTCAACCATAGGGAAGTGCAGAGAAATGAAGTGGTTGATGCGAAGCCAGAACACAATTGAGAAAATAAAAAAAGAGTTATTTAATATGTATACTACACACATAAATAACCTATAGAATAAATATATTAATACAATATTTTATAAATCAGTATAGACATATACATACCATATAATACATACTACTAAACAAATACTTATACCTACCTACTGCATAAATACTACAATATGTTATATATATTTACATCCCGCAATCGATTGGACGTCCCATGAAGGCAAAAGTGCATTTAATCTGGCGTCCACCTGCTTTCGGCGTCCGCATATCGGACGCCACTTTTTTGGTCTATGCAACTTAGGTCCTTTTGGTCCTGGCTACACGTAGGTTAAAAATCGACAGAGGCCAAAAGATCGGTTCAATGGCTGTTATAGTATTTTGAAAAGTTCCCAAAGAAATCTCAGCGCGGATAG